TGAACATTTTGCTCTGTGCACCTCATACGATAATCGAAGGATTGTAAAAACAAATCTTCCCCTTTAAATTAGCCCAAAAAAAATTGGTCGTGTGATCATCCTTGAATAATATCTTTTCTTAGAGACGCGCTTTTTCTTCGCTCTCAAAAAACCGACAGCTTCTTGGAAAAGTTGATAAGCAAGGCACAAATATCCGAGCATATTTTTTACGCTAAGGAGAGGCTAGTGCTCATATGTCAAATACACACTAAAGTACTTGTGGTCAGTCCTCAACATTAATGGAGATTTTCCTCTTCTTTTATTAAGGTTTTCAACGCTCAAATACGTCAACTTTCCGAGCCTGGGCAATATTGCATGCTCGCTGAAGCAGCACCACTGTTCGTGTCAATGCCCACACCTACCTTGTCAGGCAAATCGTCAACACGGTTTCATCTTCTATTTATTTCCTTTATTGTCTGTTTTTAGTCGCGGTTTTCTTCACCGTCAAGGAAACGTATTATTTGATGAATGTTTACCCCTTCAATCGCCGAGCTACATCGGGGCGACTCTTTCTTACAAAAGAACAAGTTTTAAGAGTCGTGTATGCCAATTTCAGCACCCGCTAATCATGCGTATTTACTAAGCTCCTTAACTACAAGTGGAAAAAAGATTGATTTTACCATTAGGACAAGTCGTTCTTGTTATATAATACATTAAGTTTTCATTTCTGCTCGAACTGAAAACCAAACCAAAAATCGATATCTAAATTTCTCTAAATGAGCTATCCCGTGAGTATAGATACGTAAAAGCCAAGTGAAAGCAAATCCCGAATTCAAAGCTCATCCTTTATTAAAGTATGTGAAAATGTACAAGCTTGACATTAAACTTTAATGTCAAGCTTTTAAATTTTCACTCTAAAATAAACATGGCAGCAGTCATTTAAATACTTGTTTGATGAGAATTGCCAACTTCTGCGACACCTGCCTATTCAAAGGTCCATTATAATATTCCAAATAATTAAATTGAACTAATTCAAGAAAAAATTACCAATTCCAATTGAATTTCAAAAAGGTCAACTCAGTTCAACAAATTCCTAATTTTATCGTTCAGCGGGGAAGGAAAGGCAATAACGATTATGCCAGCAATAGCAGGGAAAAGACGAAAAGAGCTTAATTATGGAGCGGGGACCGAGAACTTTGACTGTTCACTGTTTACATCATATGTCACTTGTCTTTTCAATAGCACTTGAGATTTTGGCCATCCATGTATATTTCATTTGCGCTTAAAATCGTAATTAAAAGCAAAAGATGATAGGTTTCTGCTCTGTCTTTACGAATTCGCTCTTAATACTTAAGGTTTAACAGCAGGTCCAAATAGATATCGGAACAGCTTGGAAGTACATCCATCACTAAAAAGAGATTGAATCAATGTATCGGTTGATAATTATCTTTATTCTCACATGAGTTAAAAAGCAAAAATTCTTCGCTACGGGTAATAGTCCTCTGTGCTGCTTCCAGACGCCTGAGTTCAGATTTAGTTCCTGTGTAATCAACTAAGACTACCTCAGCGATGGCTAATTCCTCACAAATGTTTTCCAAAACTCTTTCTGCGACAAGCGAATATAACATCTCGTGTTCCTTGGATATTTCTTTTTTCGTTTTCGCTCGCCAGAACTCATCGTTTGCCTACATCTTTTTAGCTATGGGCAGCATAATATGTTCAGTAACAGCTCTTGTCGGTAACACAATCGTTATACTCGCTCTTTGGCGCAGTAAATCGATGCACTCCGCTACAAAGGCACTGTTCTACAGTCTTGCCATCTCCGATCTCGCGACAGGACTGACTCAGCCCTTATTTGTTGCATATCTGTTGGGTGCCGCTTGGGACAACGCATGGCTTTACTGTACCGTGGGTTTACCGTTCAGTCTGACGACTACTTTCTTTAGTATGGTGTCTCTATGGACGCTGAGCATTATCGCTGTGGATAGATATCTCGCTCTTCATCTCCTCACGAGATACAAGACAGTGGTTACTGTCAAACTTATTGTTCTTGCTTTAGTTTTGGGCTGGCTCATCAGTGCCTTTTGTACGGTCTCTGTAATTTTTACTGTTAAATTTAGACAGATAGTCAGTGATGTTGTGGTTTTTATCTGTATTGTCATTTCCCTGTATTTTTACGGAAGGAACTACCTAACTTTACGACAGCAAAAACTTCATGTACAAGCACTGCGCTCGTTTCAAATGGAACATTATCGCAAATCTCTAAATAGCATGTTTCTGATATTCTGTTTATTTTTGCTAACTTATGTTCCTATAATCTCTATCTTCGTTTTTGTTATAATCGAAGGTTTTGGTAGCACATCGCTTTTTATAGTAGATATATTGACATTGATCGTTATAGCGAATTCATCGATAAACCCTGTTGTGTATTGCATGCGAGTTCGAGATCTGAAGGTAGAGGCAATACGTGTCATCCAAAGCATTTTCTTATGTTGGCCAGTTATTTGGTTTAAAAAGAAAAAGGTGGCTCCTCTTCCAGCATAATCTAACGCAAACTAAATGTTATCGCATAATTTTATGCTTAGATAACAATTGCTGTAAATAAGTAATAATCAAGGTATCCTGTCTGTGTTACCTCACAGAGCCTTCGACTTCGGCAGATGACTCAGACCTCGGTTATGATAATTTATGTAAGTATGTGCCACACAGGTGAATAGTGCTTTTTGTATGCGATTTTTGGCTGGTTCATAGGTGAATAGCACGTGCTATCCACCTCCGAGCAGCCGAAGAGGTAAAATCGTGCGTCAAGAGTTTTATTTCCCGACCATTTTTTGGTACATTGAAAGAAATAAACTATTTTTTGGTATCTATACATGTGTGGTATACATTAAAACAGTTATTCACCTCAGCATCGATGAAAGTGGTGGAATTTTTACTGAGTGGCGAGGTGGCGAGGTAAATTTCCTCCGTTGTTAACCTCCACTTCGGTGATAATTGTTAGATATGATACTCAGTTGCTCCTGATAAACGACCAGGTTACTAAGCAAAGTATAAAATTGGCGGCTCCCTAACCTGAATTTTAATTAGGAGGTTACAAATAGTTTAAAATCTCTTGATGATAGTGTAAAGCAGCTGAGTACATTTTTCGAAAGGTAAGAAAAATGTTGAAATTCCGGACGTTTTTGCGTATGATTTTAAAAATACTTTCTGATGGCGTGATAAGAATTATTACGATTATTTCAAGGCCGAATGAGCACGCACGAATTTTAATCGGGTTTGCACATATGCATACGAGTCTAACAAACAAACAAATTAATAAATAGACCAAAAAGACTAATGTGCAAACAAACAGGAAAAAACGTTAAATTGCGATCTTGGTTCCCCCCGCATTTTCCCGCCATTTTTTGTCATGTTCATAACAAGGGATTTTCGAAAGCTACCTTACCCCTCCCCAGACAGTGTTTGCGGCATAGCTGAAATTTCATAAACAGTTTATATAGCAACCTAAAGCTGATCTGCATAACACTGTATTTTAACGCCGTGTCTGGTCGTTGCGGGGCAAAAATATTGTGTTAATCATGGGTTAGTCGATCAGGAAAGAAAAAATGTTAGAAGTAGAGGATTTTTCGGAGCGTGGAGATGCTCCGGCTTTGGCAATCATTCAGGACAATGCCAGAAAGAAGGCCATAAGGCAAGTTGTTGAAACCCAAGAAGAACTCACTCGAATTCACGAACGGGTTACAAGGGTAAGTATTGGTACATCAATATTGAGGTCCTATTTAAGACCTTCATAGATTTTCCTATCTTTGTTCTTACGACTTCATTTTCATCTATAGACTATAGACGCGTACGAGCTGAGCGAAAAATTGTCCGGACATCAACTCGATGAGAAAGAAGTCGAACGTATTGCCGAAGATTTCATCCGAGAACAAGCGACTTTGGAATTTGTGGATGATATGGTGGGCAAAATGTTTTTACGAATAATTGTCAAACTGCAAAGCACAACCGGTTTTTAATCTTTGATTATAGACGTGACTCGAGCAGTAAGCTGGGCTTCAATACGACGCCGTCATTTTGTTTTCTTCCTATCTCACCCCAAGGGAATCAAGAGGCGTCCATGTAATTGCTTTGCCTTTTTCGCCTTGCCCTCTCTTTGTCTCTTGATTTTTGTTCGTGACTTGAGTTCACGTACTTTTCAATTCGTGAAGCAGTATAAAGGAGAGATTAAGACAAAAGCGACTTGTTCTCAAGCGTATACTGAAGTCTTTTTCTTATCTGAGTTTATATCCACAGTCTAATCTGTGGGATCCATGAAAATTAATTTTACTCACATGAGCATGATTTATCAGAGTTGGTCCAAGAGTACTCGAAGGGCAACTAACTTGCTGCTATATTTTTATCAGTTTTGTTCATTCTGGCGTAAATAATAATTACCGTCTTCTTGAAATTATTATTTCATCGTATTGTCGATTTTAAAAACCATGGCCGCTCGGTATTTCAATGGAAATGAAAAACTCCTGCCTTGAGAAACTTGTGCAATACATATTAAGAATCATTATCACAGCTGACCTTACTGTGATAACTCTGTCTAGTTGAAAACTGTCACTGAAATAATAACAGATACTGAAATGCAACACTGCATGCAATAAATTAAATGCTCCACAAACCATGTAACACTTGCAAGACAGTTCCTTTCCATTTCTGATCCCAAAATCTAATACCTTCTTCAGCAATGCAAATTTAAATTTTGATGGCATGTTAAGGCGACCGCTTTGTTCTACTGGAGAAGGCTTGTGGCTGCCAGATCTGGGAAGGGAATCAGAGAAATAAGCCTGTCCTTTTGTGATGCAACTTCCTACTTTAACAAATGCATTGATTATCACCTGTTTTTCCTAGACTCAGCTGCTCATTATCTTATCAGACCCAGTAGCTAAACGAAAGGTAAGATTCATTTTTGATGAATGAGATTAAACACTTGCGAGTGTAGTGAGGGATCTTTTCAGACTGGTTGGTATGAGACAACTGGAAGCTTAATGTAGGGATTGGATTGAAATGTGCTTCCTTATGAAATTTACCCTGTGGGCTAGTGAGTGAAAACAACTGTTTTTTGTCATGAGAATTCTACTTGCCCCTCTGGGAGACCTTGTAGCATATTGGTTAATACATGTCTGCACTGAAAATAACAAAGTCAGCATTTAGGATCTGGTTTGTAGAGAGGAATACCATTGATTTTGCAAGTTCCTCTTTCCACTCTCTGATTCATGGTACTGAAATGGAGACAAGCTCTGATGGGATACTGACTTTCCAGCTTATAAACTGACTAGTTCTGTGACCTTGAAAACAATGAAAAGTTATCTACTTCTTATAAACCAAGTGGGAGGACTAGTACTGTACTGGAAAACATTGGCCCAAGGTCATTTTTGTACAAGGGTCAATATTCTCCAGTATGACTAGAGCAATTAAGGTCAGTAGGTTGTTAATTATATATACAGCACTTGGACCAGACTTGTATATTTTGAATTTGCTGGCTTTTGCAAACAAAATGATATGGCTCACGAGCATTCCTTTGGAAATGGTCTGTATGATAAAAATCCCAACCAAGTATTAAAACAAATCAGATTGCTTAGATTTATCTCAAGACTACCTTGCCCTATAAAGAAATACATTCATTTTTTTCATAGTTTTGCAATGTAACTCATGAAAATGAAAAAAAAAAAAAAAGAATATATACAAATACCTTATATCTACCTTAGTATCAACAGCAAGTTGCAGTTTTTATTGTTGGATTTGAAAATCTGTGTGGACGCAGAGCCAGGGTAAGTCCTTACTCTTTGGTATTGAAGTTTAACTTGTGAAATTTGAATGTAAGGATTCCTTGATGAACTGCTGAATATTTGTATCAGCAATACTTTTTAGGCAAGTGACCAAATGATAGAAAGATCTGTTTTCTTTTTCAGCTTTTGGCCCAGCTACAAGAGGTAAGTGTATACACTGCTCTATTTTGTTTATTCAAGGAATCCAGATATTGGTTTTGACATAAGCTTTGTCAACAACTGGAAGTTTCATGTTGCAGTTTTTGATGTCCGTAAGATTGTTTTGTTTGATGGGGTAAATTTTTGATGCTGTACTGTGCAGTAAAATACTCTTTTAATGCAACATGATGAATCTGATCTGGGTTAACTTTTGTTGGCTGCAAGCAAACTCACATGAGCAAATTGTGTGGGTCTTATGACTGATATAGTAGGCTATAAACCAGGAATTCCCCTCTCATAAAAGTCAAGTGATGGAAATTTTTTTTTCTTACCTGTGAGTGTAATTGCATTTATCTAAACTTTCTTTGGTTTTTTTTATAGTTTTTCTCACAGAATGGTAGAAATGAAGATCAATTTGACATAGAACCTCCAGACTTTGACATTGAAGATGTTGGTGCACAAGTCAGGTAAACACACACAATAAAATGAAGAAAATTTGTCATCAAAAGCTATAAGTTTTAATAAATAGACCAGATTGAACCCAGTATATAACTAATGAAGAAGACCAAGTATGAACTGTATTTAATTTCTTGTTCAAAGGATTGGTTTAGGGCCATGTATGGCCAAGGACATCATCAGGCAAAACAAAGATATTCTTACAGAGCCTCTTTCTCCCTGAAGGAGTATAAATGGGTACTGGAAAACTGTGAGAGGAACTCTCACAATGCATTGTGCATTGGACCAGCAACACCATTTAGGGAAAGTGGTATTACTCCAGTAGTCAATATCGCTCTGAAAACTAGGAGAGGTCTTTGTGGCATTTGCTACTTGGCTGAAGAATAGATTTTACCTATGATTGATGCACATGTCACTACATTTTGTTGGTCAAGCCAAATTACCATAGCCATCAAGCCAATCAAAATATTTTGATGTTATCATCTAATAAATTAATACAGTTTTGAATTACAAGGAGTCTTTTCCTTCAATTTTTTCAGAGATGCCCTGGACAAAGCAGAAAAAGCAACTGAGAGACTGGCTACAGTCTCAAAAGATGTTATCAAAGCTTTAGAAATAGCAAATCCAAAAGAAACCAAAAAGTAAGTTTTAAGAGCATGTTTCAAACCCAATCTGATTAACTTTATGTTGCAAGTTAGGTCCACTTACCAATAAATAAATATTATGCAAAAAAATATATGAATTAATGAATAGACAAATAATTAGAAATATGAATAATTAGACACATAAATACAGACTTTACATTTACAATACTTCTTGTCAAGACTAGCTTTAATTTACAATCTTGTTTTGATGCAGCAGGACTATTAAGTGGCCTAAGAGGTTGCTTGCTTAAGCCCTATTAAATTTTTTTTACCATGCTTGAACAAATTACAGGATTTCTGCTATCACTGCAAGCTGAAGTAGAACTTGATTTTATTTCTAGAAACATTTTAACCAAAAAAAAATTACTTTGCTCGTTTATTTCTCAATGGGTGAAGATCACATCTGGCATTTTATCTTGCAGTTTTCATTGCTTTCATGTTGTGCAAATGTATATGAGCCATTAGTTTCCAGAAGAATTCTTTAAGAATTAAGTTATTATTTGATATCGAGGGCAGAGGTGAGAAATAGGAAACTATACTGACCAGTGAAACTAGAGACTGCCGTTTTTATGAGGATCAAGCAACACACTTGACCTTAATTACATATAAATTGGCTCTGGCTACTTATAGAGTTTACTATAATTGAATTTCATACTTTGACATACAGTATAAACTAACCTTACTTTGCCCAATTCATTTACCTTCATTGAAACTAGTAATTCAACAAACATTATTCATCAGATACTTACTAAAATCACCTTCTCCGTATCATGACCCTTCCTTTGTGTCAACCAAAAAAAACCAGTCACAGACCAAAGAAAGATATGTGGCTGTTATGAAAAATGCCAAGTTTTTAGTTACACTTCTTAAGAATAAAAATCATGTTTGTTTACTTTCACTTACTCCAAAGGAAAACCAAGATTAAGTGTCATTCAAAAGAAAAGCTTTTCTTTGTGACAACTCAGTTAGATCATGAAAAGTATTCATTCACTGTTGTTATTAAAATTAGGCCATGGTAATCTCTAAACATTAATTAGTTTTGAGTCATTCAACTGTTTGGTATGCATTGGATCAATGCTCATTAATTGGTTTCATTGTGAGAATCTCAAGAGAACACATGAGCCGCTATTGTTTTGATGCTAATGAAAACACAGTTGCTAGGCATTTTCAAGAAGAGTCTTCAGATTTCTGTTAAACAAAATCCCTGAAGCAATAGGTCAACACATGAGACACACAAACTGTCTTTGTGGTTTTGGGTTGCATTGTAAAGTGAACACTCCATTTGGAAGAAGGGAAAGTCAATTTATTTGAAATTTGATGAATTATAGATCCATCCGATGATGGTTAGTGTGTTAGTGTTAACATTGGGGATTTTTAAGTAGTGAGATCTAGTTGAGTTATCACTTCACATTTTTGTTTATCTGCTAATTAACAATAAGTATAGTGTTTTATCAAGCTGGGTATGAATATACACTCTGATGTGCACTGCGTGTTGATAGAAAGTACCAATTTGGGGTGTAAAGGCAGTGTAATCTTTGCTATATTGTTACTTAAGTTGTAGATTTGAAAATTGAAAAATGAACCAGCTAAGTCTTGTCATGGTTTAGTGTTTGTTAGTGTTAATCCTTTGCTGTGAAATGTATATTCTAATTCATTCTGTTCCCTCAGAGCTAGAGATAAGAATCAATGTCAGTAAAGTTCAATTAATAAAAGCAACACTTTTGCTTTGTGATTTCTTTATTCTTCACGGGTGAGATCTAAATTATGACGGAGAGTATAATGATTGTGCGCTTCACGAAGTGAGTGGCATGTTATTTATCATGTTCTGATTATGACAGATGAATTCATTTTAGGTTGATTAAAACAGTCTCTGCTAAAATTAAACTGGTTTTGTTTTGATTTGTTTTTTACTACCCAGGGGAAAAAAGAAACTTGAGCGAGCTCTTCAGCAGGCACAGCAAGATATTTTGTCACTGACTGAAAAACTGATCAGAGTACAAAATGGTAAGTTGAGCATGTGGAGCAACCATCAGTGACAATTAATCCAGACATCATTGATCCATTCTTATTTATTGAAAATCATTATTCTTATTTGTCATGTCCAAAGCACCTCAATGTTAATTCAGCGACACCATCTTTTAGATATATTTGTTGTTTTTTTAATAAGTGGGATGTACACAATTTCATCACAGAATTGTCTGTCTTTGATAATTCACCTGGAATCATCTGTTTCTGAAGTCGCTCTGTGGATACATGTACAAATACAGTACTGTATGTTCCCTGGCCATACAAAGACTAGGAAGCTATAAATTAAACAGTTTTAAAGACCCATGTGATTACCCAGAGTCAATGTCACAACTATACAAACAATGACAAATTACTGATAACAACTTCTGGGCTAGTTGTATGTGATGCTGGCAATTGCTGTGACTGGTTTGCCTGTTGTCTTGCAGAGTTCAGTTTGTGACATGTAGTGAATTAGTTTTTTTTTGTGTACTAAGAATTTTTATGGAATAAATTTGTTGTAGATCTTGAAGAAAGTGAAGGCAAGATGTCCCAAATGTACAAGTCTATGGAGATGAAACAAGTGGAAATTGAAAGGTATGATTTATAGTCCCTCCCATACCTTTGATTACCATAGTATTTGTTGTTGTTTCAAATTATTATACATCAAGTATAGATGCTAAGTAAAATTGACAGTTGGGTAAGTTACATTTTACCTCTCTTTATAGGCTTAAGGTTCAAGGGGAGAATGCAAAGGTAAGCCTGGTTCTTTTGTTGCCTACAATCAAGTTTTAAGGGAGAGGAGAAGAATTTAGAATTTTAAGAATTGAGCATATTTATTTCCAGCACTTTAGGAAAATCTGCAAATAACAAAATCTTGCTCATTTTTAATGATATTGCAGAAAGCTAATGAAACAATCAAAGAGTTGAAAGTGGAGCTTACTGTCAAAGATACAGACCTTCAAAGAGCCAACAAGGTGATAACATTTTAAATAAAATAATCTGTAAATTACCACTGATTGAGGCACATGGGTAAATATAAGAGTAAAACTTTGAGTTGGTTTCATCTGTTCTTCAGAGTCTTAAGATCAATGCATATTGTGAAACTAGTCTTACTGTGATGCAATTCGCTGCTAATTTATGTTTCCTGTCTCCCTTTTGGTGATTTATGTAGCTTATTAGTTACCAATACTACCCTTAATTTTGCAATATTTAACCTAAGATTACAAAGATTGTAGCTGTTGTGTTATTTTTCTTTAATTACTTGAGTTTATTAGTCCCTCTCTTGAAGGATAAATTTATGTACACAATTTCTAGTTAATTTTATTTTCAAGTGTATTACTTTTTCTAGACGATTCAAGAACTTGAGCTAAATCTAGCTCATTTAGAGGATAAGCAAGAGAGAGATTTTGAGAGAAACAAAAAAATGAAAGAGGAAAACCAGGTAAAGCCAAACCATTTTCTAGTTAAAAAATTATTATACTTAGATCTACATTGACAGGAATTCTAATTTTATACAGACATGCAGCTCCTTTTTTCCCAGACTGAGTACTTTTAATAATTCTATAAATGATTCCCATCTCTTTTAGCTAACATAGCTAACCACAGGCCATCATACTAGTGAGTCATTGCCTAGTTACCATGGCTTTGGGGAGACCTTTGAATTCCTTGCAAGATGTACATTGTGATTTATGCATTTGATATAATTTAGTACAAGCCAGCTTTCTTTTCATTTAACAGGTTCTTTTCAATAAAAAAAAGTCTTAATTTGTGCCATGGCACTATGTGAAAAGAGTGGTTTCAGTAAATGTTTGTCCTTTTGCAATATTCCCACAGGCACAAGAATAGCTCTAAGGTTAACCTAAAATACATTGTATGCAGGTGCACTTTTATTACCTTTAGGGTGACAATCATGTTTTCTTAATTTTTACTTTGCAGAAATCTAAGGATACATATGAAGAAAAAATTCGTGATCAGCAGCAGTATATAGCAGATCTGAGATCAGGTGAACTCTGATTAGAATTATTGTAATTGATATTTACAGTTTTATTTCATAATGTGTACTTAAAAAGGTAAACCATGATTAGTCTTCCACTTTCCCTGGCTATCATGCTATGATACACCAGGGAAAAAAAGATGCAATGAGGTGTCCTTTGATGATAATTTTTATAAATCAATCAATAAATCAGTCAATCAGTCAGTCAACAATTAAACAATCATTGCTAATGTTGATGTGTACTGCTTTAGAATTGAAGCAACATTATGATGAACAGGTCAAGGAATTAGTGGGTGGCCATCAGAGAGAACTGAGCCAAATTCGGAGTGATCACAAGGTTGAGCTGGATAGGATGCAAAAGGCACTTGATGTTGTAAGTTACCAACATTTTAGATTATTGTTTTCTACAAATCATCCTCAATTTGATGCACATTTCTTTGTTTTTCCATCTCTTTCAATAATAAGTTTAATGAAGACTTTCTGGGTGAGAGTAGCATTAAAATAAGTTGGGAATTTACCATAAATTTTGCAACCAAATGCAAAATTGCAATTGTTTGACCATTTGCATCCACACTGCATGTACAAAGTACATGTCTGTGCATCAGCCTCCAGCCTCCACCAAGTAAGAGAAGTTTTCTAGGAAACTTTTACTGCTGATAGATATAAACACAACCTGAGTAATAGCCATTTTCAGAGTCCAATGAAGACAGAAACTCCTGTGATTTTATGGGCTTTTCAATATACCCTCTCCTTATTTTGAAATAAGTTTTTTATTCATCTTGATGATAAAATAGTGATCAAACAGTAACAGAGGCTGTAAACTCTCTTGGCAGGCAAGAAGAAAAAGTGAAGAGCTTAAAACTGAGTTGTCAGATTCCAGCAAGCGCAACTCAATAGCAGCTGACTCTGGAAGCAAACGAAGTAGTCTGTTTTCACCAGAGAGTGATGGTGGAGAATCTCCTCGAAAACTATCAATGAAGTCTTCAGCTCAGGCTGTTAGATTCTTGAACAAGGGAAAACAGAGTTTGGTAAGGAATTGCATCTATGCATGATACAATGTAATACAAAATGATTAAATGTTATTTTTGTCATGTGGCAGGCTGATCATACTATATTATTTATATATGCTAGGTAGCTTGGTTTTACATACCTGCAATTGCTTGCATATACTTTTGCTGGTATATGTGTGCTTTTGGCAAACTGATTCAAGGGGAGCTTGAGTCCCTTGTGTCTACTTAATGCATTTTTTACAGTTTGTATTTGAGTTGAAAAAGTATCAAAACTTTGCTATTTTGTGCATCAATTACCTTCTTGTCACAATTCAGTTTAATGTGTATGCTTTGTGGAGTTGTTATAAGAGGCATTGGTCTGTTATCTCCTGTTAATTGCCATGCATGATATATGCACATGCATTGCCCAATATTGGATCAGTTTTTTGATGAATGATTAATTATTTTATATGATGTAGTTTCAAAAAAATTGCAAGATATTGCTACTTTTCTCTGCATGGGACAAAAAAGAATATCTGAGTTCAGCTTGAGGTATAAAATTCTAAGTCAGTTCTAATTTTACAATTGTTGCTGTACTGCCGTCAAGAATGTGTTGAAGTAAAAGGTTTTTACCTTTATTTATTCAGAGTGATGGAGGATCAGCTTCAGACCAAAGTGACAGTTCTTTAACACCAATAAACAAGTCAACAACACCAACCCAAACATCACCGTCTGTGGAGATTACTCAAGAGAAGGCTGGTGAAAGCCCTTCACGAAAGTCTTCTCTTTCCCGCCAAGAATCAAAAACTGACAGCAAAAAGAGCAGTGCTAAAGAGAAGAATTCTGCAGGAACACCAGAAAAACAGTTGAAATCAAAATCCCCTGATAAAACACCAGCTGCTGTTGAACCCTTTGAGAAAACAGAAACATCAGGTGAAAATTCTGAAGTGAAACGGACTGCTACAGCAGAGACAACAAATAGTCAAGGTAATCAATTAAGTCTCATCCATCATTAAAATAAGGCTGGAGAAGAACTACAGAACATTTGCCGTATGTTGAATTTTTCCCACGATGGAACCCTAACATTCCCCCACTTTGTTGTGAAAACCTATCCCTGGAAAAAGTTTTCTAGGAAGTTGACAGCCCAGAAAGTTTTAGTAAAAGCGGGTCACTGCCACCTGTAAGACCGCTATCTGTTTAACCTGCCAGCAGACTCTCGTGTTTGGCTTTCGTCTGACGGTATGTTTTCCGGACACAGCCGACTATTACACCATGGAAAAAAATATTGAACCCCCTGTTTGTTGTTAAGTCGATCTAATTTGTTTGCAGCCTTGTTTAGTTCACATGCTCTTTTTTCCTAGCCTATTCTTTTATCTTGCAGTTGATTCTTTAACTAGAGTTCTACTCTACTTGGTTACCCTCATGGATTAAATATTTTTAAAATAGAAAGGCATTGATTTGTATGCATTATGCCCCTTTCCCTGTTGCCATCTCTTACTAAAGCACGGTTTCTTGATTAATTTTTTTTCGCGCATTTCCAGTAGGCATTGTGAAAGTCGAGATGGTCGACATTGGTATTCAAAGTGAGACAGAAGATTTAAGTGATAACGAAACTGCTGCACAGCAAACAGGAAGGAGGCCAACCATGTTGCAAGTTGTTCCAGAGGTTGAGGAGGAACACGAACAGGACAATGAATTGGTATACTGTGGTTTAGATTTTAAGATCATAGACTTGTTTGTTTTGTAAAGAATGGTTAGTCACTCGTAATGTACTGCACCTGTCCCTATACTAAATCCAACCCTTGAACCCCTGGGTGTGATTTAAACATGGAACCTGGTTTGAAATTAAAATGCATTATCTAATTAAAAAGTTAGTCATCGATTTTTTTGGCGAGAAAATTCCAAGTCCTTTTCATTAGTTACCTCAGGGAGGGAAGGGGAGAGTTAAAGAATATTAGAAAAGTGCAATAGAAAAAATCTTTTTCTACATTGGGGAGAAGAAGAACTAGAAAGATCTGCGAAAGGCTTTCTTTATCTTGCGAGGGTTACACCGTGTCTGAAATCTAACTTGCTTTGCCTCAGATTCACCCTGACGTGGCGGTTTTTTTCATTGTAGGAGTCGCAATCTCAAGTTTATCTCATAAAGAAACTAGAAGATTACAAGGCTAAGGTATGATATAAAATGAACACACAGCACTTTTTGTGGAGCTACTTGTTAAACGCTCTTTTCAATACTTTTATCTATAGGTCTGATCATGCATTGCTTATTTGATTCGTGAGAGTCTTTTGCTTTTTTTAGGCACAGGAAAGGCAGAAAAAATTGGAACTAGAGCTTGCTGAATTGAAGAACAAGGTAGCACACGTAACCCTTTACCCCTTAAGTTCAGTATGCATATTCTCCTAACTTTTCCTGTGTATTTCCTTCGGTAATGACGAGGAGAATTTGTTTAAAAGCTAAGAGCTTCTTTAGGTGGTGATCATTTCTTTTCCTTTGACACTGTAAGGAGAAATTACATTATAGCTGCTGGTCATTCTCAGGGTTAACGTCACGGATTACCAGTGTAGGCCATGTAACACTTGACGGTTGATAATTAAATTGTTCTTGTTTTTTGTAGTATATGATGAAAACCAATTCTTTGAAAAAGCAAAATGAGGAAGTTCAGAACAATTTTATGAAGGTGAGCAATGATTTCAATGAGCTTGAAAGTGGTACTTCTCTATCTTTCTCACCCGTTAATCCTTTTCATTTTTGAATATATATCCGACCTGGCATAAGAAATTTCAAAGGTTTGTATTTGGAAAGTATTTCCTTTATTGTTGGATAATATTAGTTTTCTCAAAGATACATTTGATTAGCTTGTGATGTGATCAGCTCATCAAGAACTGAAGAGTAACTTATGATTTGTGGAGTAAGCCAGTCCTTTAAAATGTTTGTTGAATCCAACCCATCAGGAAAAAGAAGTGTTGCTCAGTAGGATTAAAGATGCTGAGTTACTGAAGGTAAGGTCACTTCTCTACACTCTTATCTTTTAAAAAATGCCCGAATGAAAGGTCGAGGCTCGACCATTATTTTGAGGCGATTGAGTTGGAAAACGCAAAATTTACGTTGCTTCTCTTTGTTCTCCTTTTTCATTACAGGAACAAGCAGAAAAAGAGGTAACTAACAGCATATAGTCAGTTAAATACTTTGTCATTAGTTATGATATCGCGCTGACAACGGTGCTTGTGATAATATTTTGTAAAAAAAAGGGTGTGTCCCAGTATTTCAGAATGTTGAACTTTTTTTACTTTAACCTCTAATTGCCAAACTGACAGGGCACAATTCTTGTCTAGAGGCGAAACTCCAGCATACGAGAATGATTTGCAATTTTTAAGAGTGTAATTTACATTACGCAAATCAAGGTAAACTTGAAATAATAAAAAGTCGGCGCTATTTCTTGGTTTATCTGAAGGCAGGCTATTTCAGTCTTCCCATTTTTACCCATTCATGCCGAGTCCCTTTGTGGCTTTGCTGTATTTTTTAAGTTGTTCTCCTCCTACCAGGCAGTATTCTTTAATTTTAACATATCATCTTTTTTACTTTTTTAGGCTGAACTGGCAGTTCTGCAGCTGGTTAGTTATTTTGTATTTTTTTATGGTTAACGAGTTTTATTACAACGCTGGCAGCGCCTGTGGGCAATATGAACCGAATCCTATGTTTTGATTGGCTACCTGAGTGGGCAAGATGGGCCCATCTTGCCCGCTCGGGATTGCCCGCTTTGATACGAAAAAAAAATTGAAGTAGGACCAACTTCGTAATTCTTGCGATTGAGACACAAAAAGCGGCAGAAACAAAGAAAACATAAACGACTCTCGTTGTATTATGGTGCTACAAACGTAGTTGTCTCTCTTTCCCGGCTCTCGAAGTAATCAAGCCATTCTCGATTCTTAATAAGGGGAAATATTTTTGCACCGTAATAAATCCTTTATTGACCAATCTCGTTTTCTCAAGATGGGTGGACATTAGCCACGTTCCTTTTTTTGCATTTTTATATATCTCGACTTCGTCTCGGTCCGCAAAAAATGCGAAAAAAGAACTCGAACATTATTCGGCCATCTTGACCTCACGCCTGGTCAATAACTAAAATTTATAAATTGGGTTTTACAACAAAAACGCATGAACATCGATTGGGAGAATAAAGTAAACGTCCAATTTAACGGATGACAAGACACACTTTTGAAATCAATAAGTTGTTTGCAAGGTATTTTGAATGCTAACACTTGTAATCTTTTGTTTTTTAGGAAGAGTTCCTCTCCGAACAGGAGGAAATGGTAAGGCAACGAACTTAATTTGGTGACTGCTTGATAGGGTTGTTAACCATAACCCCTGAGAGTGGCTAGCATTTATTTTCGCTCTCCAAAATCACCACTAAATGAAACATTCCAGTCATGAAAATGATGCAAATGATCATCAACTACAAAGGCTCTTGATTGTGAAACAAATTCTCCATTTTGGTAGAATATACACTCTCTGAAGTTAGGTTATAAAGGTTGAGTCGTGGTGGAGAACCTGTAAAGAAATTTTTTGTTTCGCTAAGTACAGAGTACAAGGTGGGTTGTGTTGTGTTGCACCGTGAAGATGATGCTGGCCATGTGTTTGAACTTTGTATCTCACACAGACCTGGCTTTACCAAAATATAACTAAATTACCATTGGTAAGTTCTCAACAGCGGTAAAAATCTGCCGGAAAATTTTCACCGGGACCGCTTAGAGGTGGATATGACCTTTGAAAGGCCGTCGCCGCTTCATAACCGGGTTTATATTTGAGATTTATGTTCAAAGTTAACATGGAATTTTGGTACAATATTCCTTGGGCATGGCTCGATTTGGTTTCTTGTTAGTGGCATCTTGGGCGCTCTGGAGGAAGGGAAGGGGAAGAACAAGAACTTATTTAATAGTATTATTTCTTTCACCTGATTTCCAACTTTCTTGTACCGTGGCCTTCCCAACATAGAATTTTGTCTTCACAGAGGCAACTAAAGGAGAAAAGTTTACACGATAAACATGAAGAACAGACAATGACGGGCTTGTCACTTTACGACAGACGTGAAGAGGAAACCATGACAAGCAACTCGATATTTGACAAACAAGAGCAAGAAACCATGACTAGTAAATCCCTGGCAAACATGCGTGAGGAACAGACTATGACCTCCATGTCCCTGGGGACAGACCAAGAACAGGTACTTTTGAATACAACTAGTCTCCTTTCTATGCTGATGTCTATTAGCGGGTGAGCATGGTTTTTATGGCTTGTTTTTCTGGGACTTCGTTGACTCAGAAATTTCCAACTCCAGGTTACTTAATTGTGTCAGAATTCTTACTCTGAGGTTGAATCCTGATATAATTTTGAGTCTATGTTACACGACACCATTGAGACTGATGAGTGTTTGGAAATTTTCAGGCTAGCATGCTTGTCAGTGTTACAGAGTTGTCTGCCCTTCCCTTCTTCCCGCCCGATTCTTCTCCTACTGACCCGAGTTCTACTCTGATTTGTTTCCATTGCAGATCAGCGATTCAAAGAGGCATCAATCCGTTGGGAGTCAGTCGTCGCGTCAGTCCTCTGCTCATTTGATGGACAGTGTAACACAGGATCAAAGTGCTGAAAGAGGTCTGAGTCCACGTGACAGTGGGTTTGATGGAGCGGCCTCAAGCCTCAAGTATGACTCCAGACCGAGTTCACCTACCGTGAAGTTTTCCGTAGATGAGGTTAGTTGCTAGTGGTAGTTGTATTTCGTGTTGTCTCGTGTGCTTTTAGAAACCGTTTACCAAAGAGTGAAACAAATAAACTTTCATCTCGTGTACACTTTCGAAGCTGAGCTACGAAGCCACATGTTGGGAGCGAGACAAGATTTGGAGGGTTTGTCTTTCTCGCAGAGGAGTCTGTTACAATCTCAATGAAATAAATTTCATTTGACCTGGGGATGCAATTGAAGGAAATGGTGAAGCTTTGTAGCTCAGTTGGTAGAAGCGCCAAACTAGTACCTGTACAAGCTTTTAAAGAATGGGCCAAATGGCTTGACTTCAAAGCCTTTACCTATCTAGTTCTTTCTTCTGCAGCAACGTCCTCGAGAATCGAAACCAACAATGCTGTCTCCCCCTCAGCAGACAAGACCTGCTATGAGTGCTAGGGCTCGTAGGCGACTCATAAACTCTGCTCTCGGCGATCACCCAGTGGCTCAAGAGACATTGCGGACATACCAGGCAGTCCTGCTGTTTAGTCGTAACATAACGCAGTGGTTGGACCGCGAAGGGCTTAGTGAAGAATCTGATCTGTTGAAACGTGTACAGCCTGTGGTTCTCAACCAGGTGAACTGGAAAGCTATTGAGAAATAATATCTGAAACAATTACTTGCTGTAACGACTTTCTGGTCTCTTGGTTGTGAAGTTTTCCCTTGATAGATTATTATTTTTGTTTTATCAGTTGCTGTGAGCATGCTTTTGCATATTTTTTTTTTGTTTTCTTTTGTTTTTTTTGGCTCTTGTCTAGCATTTCAGTAAAAATTATTTGAACCTTTAATGTATCAATGAAGTGTTTGAAACAAGCCTTATCTTGTCTACATTTGTACACAGGAAGACACCATGGAGATAATAGAGAGTCTGCCGGAGATACGTAGCAGTATTGACCAGGTCAGTGCACAGTTCATAAGCATTTTATCTTCCATGTGCTGTTAACCACGACTGCCGTCCACCAATACATTCAAATTTTCCCATGAGAACATCCATACATATTGGTTTATTTTGTAGATACTGTTAGCTTTTAGTTGTCTATTATGAGAAACACTCATAAGCTAGTTTTAAGGTATTACACAGTTGGGTTGGTTGAGAAATATTATATATTTACGCAGCTTAAAAAATTTGGTACAATAAAGAATAAGAAAGAAAATAATCAAACCAAAACATTGATGAAATTACAAGAAAAAAAAGAAAAATCGGGAGAATTTTTAGTCACAGTTCTCCAAGATTTTGATTTTAAGCATCCCCTCAATATCAGACTCTGAGAAGTAACTTTGTGAAGTAGAGGCACATCAATATCTATCATGCAAATGTTTGATTTGCTTTTTATTACATTGTTGTTGTTTTAGATTCTAAATCAGGTGGGCAGTGTTTTGTCCAGTCAACATCTCGCACGATCCAAACCTGTGGACACGAAGAGTGTAGGACTGAATCCCCCGGAACCGAAAACGCGGCAAGAATGGAGACCGAAGAGTTTTAAGGTGTGCATTTTTCTTTAACGACTATTCTTCGTAGGAGCAGCGAAAAGGAACCTCTCAAAAGTATTCTTTGAAACCTCAGGGTAACAATTGTATCAGTATAGTGGTCACTATCACAACGAATGGATTATTATTCGTTTTATTTCAAATTTTCCTCCAAAAATACACCAAAAATTTGCGCGGCGGCCATTCTTAAAATTACGGCCTCTGCGATGCAATCGCCTCATGCGTGATGAGAGTGGAAAGATATAACTGAGTTGGCAAGATGGGTCCACATTGCCCACTCGAAGAGCCAATCAGAACACAGAATTAGCTTAATCTCGTGTCGCTTCTTACGTAGCACTGTTTAAGATATATTTTTGTGGCTATTATTCCACCAAACCACTTGATAACAAGTAAAATATCGCTCAAAAATTTGAAAGCTTAACTGTTTTTAGGGATCCTCTGTTACTCCAAACGTTCCACCGTACACTCCGTGTATAGAGTGAGTGGCTCTGGTTTGTTGTTGAAACGACAGGTTGTGTTTTGCTAAGAATCTTACTTGTAATAATACAGAAATAAGCTGGAACTTTGAATTGAGGTCATCGACGTAGTCAACTCAAACATTACTTCCTCCTTTCTCTTCTCGCCTCATCTTAAGCAGAAGGAAGATTTAGGAGATACATCAAGCATGGAATCCAATTACGTCAAGCTGCTGAAGGAGTACAACGATTTGGCCGAAGGTTACGAGCGTCTTCAACGACATCTGGATGAAGAAACCAAGTTTCACCAGGAACAAACCAGTCAGAATGTAGCAGTCATGACAGACATGCAGGACACGATCACGCAGCTGAGGAATCAGCTGGCAGAACTGAGGAGCATACGGTCCGCTTCATCGGGGGTGCGTCACGTCCTAGTAATTTAACATCATCTTGGAAAGTTAGTTAGAACGTAAAGAAGTTAAGAAAGTGGGAGCCTCTCAAGAAAAGAAAAAGTCTGAGTCTCCTTTGAAGTGACACGTTTATCGCCTTTATGATTAAAAGGGTTAACATTGTTTTGATAAATGTTGCTTAAATCTTTCTTGCTTTATGTTTTGACCGATCACACATTTACTATCACTAGGGAATGTTGTAGTCATGGCTATTACCTGTATATGCCATGCCTCTAGCCGACAAGAGCTACTCTTGATTGTGTACTCAAACTCCAAAGTAACCAGGGATAGGTCGTTATATAAATTAATCTTTCGATTGTCTTTGTTGTTGCAGCGCGCAAGTTCTTCCATTATGTTCACACGACTCGATGCAGAAAGAAACGGGAAGATCCTCAAGCGAGCTGTCAACGAGAGGCGACTGTCCGACAGCAGTTTCTCTGTGATCATGGAACGCATGGATAATTATGTTAGTTTACCGGCCAAGAGATTAGCGCATATTGTCAGGCGATATAGTCACCACCGAGCTATGAAAAACATTGGTAGGTTTGCAGTATTTTCCCTAGGTTAATAGACTCTTTTTCAAAACAGACGAAATGGCGGACAGAACCTCTCTATATCTGTGGCACCGGAAGAATGGTGTCGAGAAAGGTCAGGACAGCGCGACCGGATTTCAATCCAGATGACGCACTAGACGATTCAGGGTATCGCAGCACATTAAGTAGAACCCCAGAAAGGGAAAGTGAATCTCGATTAGTTTTGAATCGCCAAGAGCAGTGTTAACTGGACGCCTTGTTACTTCTGAACTTTATATTTCTATACTTCACCTGTGCGCTGGGATAATTCTGGCTTTACTTCCCGTTTTAACTCTCTACTTCCTACATCGGCATTCGTTTGGTGAACCCCTTCTCAACAACAAAATTCGAAAAAATCGGTTCTGCTGATAACAAAGGTTTTCAATAATTGCAGAATGTCGTAAGCCTATAATTTTGGCCCATGTTTTTCGTCTAGACATTTAAGTGAGTAGCTGTGGTAAACTGATGCCTTAACTGACCTCGAATGTCGTTTTTTTAGAGCAAAGTTTACAACGAAGTGGTAGTCTTGACGAAAGCGTGTTTTCAACCCTGGATAAAATGGAAGCTTTACAAAACACACGCGCTCAGCGATGGGGCAACCAAATGGACAAGTATGCGTTCGAGCGTGAGCAACTTGCACAGCAGTTAACGTCCTGTTTTGAAAACCTGGAGCAAGAGACAGGGATCTTTCTTATAAAACCTGTTTATTCTCTAAAAGGAAGGTGAGAGAATAAATATAGACAACTAAATTACAGAAAAAAATTGCAATGAATCGTTTAATAAGTGGATGATTAGCGACGTATTGATTTTATAAGGTAAAATACAGTTGCAGAGAAAGTGCCCTAAAAAAGAAATCAGGCCTCAAGAGGGATTGAACTGGTGCTTTCCAGACATCATTTGGGCTCCACTGCCAACACGCCTTTACCAGAAGTTTAAACACTTTCACTTTCACAAGCTTTTGTTATTATGGAAATGGCCGTGAAGCCACATACTGGAAGACAGGCAAATTGTTCCGTTTTCGACCGTATATTAAAGTCAAATACTTTTTCTCAACAGATCTGAAGTGAATGGTGGGCATGTTATTGCCCAGAGAAACAAACCCTCCCCGGTACCACCTAAGCCTAGTGGTCCAGCAACCCCTGCACCAACTCCATGGCAAAATTATGGGTCCAAGGCACCAATATCGGCAGGGCTCTACCGTGACCTGACACAAAGCTCCCTCGCCAGAGCTGCTTCCTCAATTCCTGCCGTGGCTCAGTTAGAAGATGGGACAATTAGGATGAGAGTCACACAGCCCATGGACAAAGAGGGCCTGTTAAGCTCTTCCGCTGGTGTAACATGGCAGGCGTCCAAGTCCCAAGTGTTGGGTTCTCCTTCAGCTGCTGTGCAAATTAACACGTCTAGAATTCTAGAGCTTGATGTTAATCGAATGATGATAGGACAGACAGATGTGAGGTATGTTATAAACGATCTCTGGAACTACTCTAGGACAAGCGTCTTATTGAACTCATTATTTGACACATCTTTATCCCCAGTGGTCAACTGTCCAACAGCTTGATTCTTGACAGGTTTCATCTTATGGGAATTATGAGAATAACCTCTTCCCTTTGTAGAAGAATTAGATAACTTTCACTGACTTGAAGAGATCATATCAATAGAAGCAAGAACATTCCATTTACGTTGTCAGTTCCAGACCCTAACCTGATTTGCTCTAAATATTTGCAGTTCATATGGTGTTGGTTTACTCCCGTTTATAGAATTTTAGTGCCTTTAAAAGAGCGGTATACGTTTGGAACGATTTTAGAATACATTGTTCTCTTAATATGACGTATTGAGTATCGTTTTTTTTTAATTTTTCACCACAGTAAGCACATTTACCCTCCCGATGACTCTGGTGAAATGACAGGCTCCGCTGTTAGAAGTTATGTTACAGTGGAGCGACCATCAGGCGGTAAACAAATCCGAAAAGCCAAGCAAGCTAACCTAGGTGAGCCAATCAGTTAATAGACGGAAGTCAGTCAGTAACTGACCGTGTTCTATTAATGGGATATGTAGTGTTTCCGTTGACTGAAAGAATAAAAGAGTTATGAACTCTCGTGGTATATCCAGTCTTCTCTCTGAAGTGTCCTTCCCAGATATATAAATTTACGTACACAGGGTTCGCAAAGAGTCATGAATTCGTGGAAAAGTATGGAAATTTGCAATTTGATTACGTGAGAAAGGAATAATTGGGAAAACTTATTGAGTCTCTCCCATAAAGTGCTTAATTACTGGGTGAAATATTTGTATGGTGTCAAAAGTTAAGCTCGTGTAGATTACTCAGGCCAAAGTGCACAGAGGGGGAATTTTCATTTTGGGAAAAAGCTCACAACCAGCTATTTGCCTTACCAGTGTGATTTGACCGATAACCTTGAGTGCGGCGCTTGGAGTAATGACAAGGAAATACTTTGAAAAGGAGCAATTGCCAAAAGTAGAATTTCATTGCTGGAGAACTGTTGAAGTCCTATTGGTTAACCTATCAACTGTAATGACACACTTTCTGTTTATTCTTTCAGCATTGCAGAGTTATTCTCCACCCAATAGTGCTCCAGATAGCAAGCCTCAGGGCCGTCCTCAGAGTGGTCCTCAGTTGACACATTACTCTCCTCTCCCTCCCATACACATGCCTAAGTTACGCCAGGAGTCTCGGTCAGGCAAGTCACTTGAGAGTGAGGCTGTAACCCATTCAGATGCTGGGACTCCTGTGGCAGGGACCAAGTTTGAAGGCACCAGGCCCAGTACAGGTGGAGCCCATAATGGACAAGACAATCATATAGGACTTATCTCTCCTGAGATTTTACCTGTTAGATAGCGAAGTTTGAACCTCGATTGTTTCTGAATATTTAAATAGTAAGAAAGAGATGTAGCATGACTCTCAGAAGAAATTTACTTTATCGTCAGAGTTTAGTTATCTAAATATTATAAGATTTCTTGCGATTTTATTTTTCGCCTTGGAAAGCGGAAAGGAATAAGAATTGGGCCATATTTGCCCACCGTTAAATAGGAGTGGTATGTAAGACACCATTTTACGGAATATTAATCTCTACCATTTTGAAGTATGTGTAAAAATCTACTTCTCACCGTGGTTTGAGATTTCAAAGAGTTACATGTCCTCTTGGAAGTTGTCCTAAAAACTGACAAGAATTGCTATTGCGGACAAACAGAACTCATTAACCTGGCAGCACACTTACAAAGTCGCAGACTTCAACTCAGATTGAGGGTACTACAACGCACGGTTCACAAACAGCCGTTGCCTTGGTAGTCGCAAAAACTCCTTGTTTGAGCCAACAATGCCTTTTTTTTGTAACTATTAATAGTTAAAAAAGATGGCAAGGAAGAAAAGACTTTAGAGAAAAGCGGCAGGTTGCTGAGAAAGATTTCTAATAAGGGCGTCTGAAGCGAATTTTCGACTCTTTCGAAGGCAAATATCATAGTGTTAGGAGGGTCTTAAAGAGGTGAAAACGCGCTCAGTGTCGAAATTGTATATACAAAGGTTTCAAGGGAGTGAGTGTGTAAAATTATTAAGTTTAAAGGGATCTTTGCTATGGAATACTTTTTGACACTTGTGTGTAGAAAGAGGAACGAAACTGTTCAGGCAGTAGCTTATATCACTCTACTGGATCAAATCTTCTGGAGACTGTAAATATAACAGTAAAAGATAACATAGAAGACTATTAAATAGGAAAAATATCATTGTAATTGATGCTGATGTTATTGTGATAAGCCTTCTAATCCAATGTACTGAAGATATATATGGCTACCACTTACACCAGTTTAGGCAAAATAACCTTAACGGTCACAGTGCAAGAATTGCACCCGCCATCAAATCTGAGGAGTAATAAGTGATAAGTATAACCATTACTGTGCAGGTCTGAGTGTGCTTCGAAGAATCACGATTGAAGCCCTTTTTTGAACTCACTTAGTGTTACCTTGGTTGTAAATCGAACCACTACACAGAAAAACTGAAAGGTGTTATTGAAAAGTGTACTTACAAACAGCAACTTGATAAATGATAAGAATTAAATGATACATAGGTTTAAAATATAAACAAGCAAATTTGGCCTGCGACGGAAGAATGTTAAGAGACGATTAAAGGATGAGATACCAAAACAAGATCGCTAACACTGTGGCAATGACATTAATTACACGAGGTGTAGATATTGAACCCCAGATTAATCGCTATTTTTGCTCTGATTCAGCGCTTCAAATCAACCTCAACACGGGTAAATAACCTTCCGGCTGTATGGCGCTCAGACTACGTGACAGTCATTGCGCAAGATGCAGTTTCTACGAGACCCAGGTGAAGGGTTGTACATATAATTGAAACGAGAAAAAAAGCCAGTCTCCTCCAGTGAAATCTGTTTGAGCATTATCGTGGAGTTATTTGCACTGCGCAGTCTAATGAGAAGAAAAGGAAGAAGAAATTACAACAGCCCGGATCGATAGAAGGTGATAAAAGCGTTTGTCCAGCTGCGGTCTTCAACAAAAGGATCTATTTCGTCTAAATTTTTTGTTCAATTCTGACACGCTCTGAGTCCGGCATTGATGTCATCGGATTTCCTCATTTCGAAATTCAATAAATACATATATAGTCACTTTTCATTTTTTAATCGCTTATAAAAGGACTAATGTATCTCTGACTGTGTCTGATTCATCAGTTTATATTGAAGCTAGCGCCAGTTGGAATAACTTTTCAAATTACCCAATTGCAGGGGACAACTATAAAATTACGACACGGGTCGCAACTGAACCGCAATGGAAATTCGCACCGAACTGATAATTCTCTCACTTTGCTTCGCGTGGTTTAAAGGTTTTCTATGTAAGTGTTGTTGTGTATCAATTCAAATACAGGTCATTGCATGAGACAGTGGGGGCAACTACAGCGTAGATGCTATCGAGCGGAAAACGTTTTTTTGATCTTGAATGACATGGGAGATACGAAGAAGCACTGCCCGTCCAATACATAATTTCCTACTTTCAGAGTACGACGTGGGACAGATGCTAATGTGTTAATCAGAATCATTGGCACAAAGAGGTCGACCGCTGAAAAGAAGCTGGTGGGCCCAAGAGATCCTTTTGAGAAAGGAAGGTAGGATTTAACTATTACCTAAACAGGAGCCGGAGTCAAATATCCAACCTGAAAAAAGTGTAGAATATTGCTTGAGAAATATACTTTGCTGTCCTCATTTAGTTTTAAGCTGACTTACATCAGTTTTTTTTCTACAACAATTGAAATGTGTGGATAAAAAAAGGAATTAAAATAAAAAATCTATTTAGTTATGTGGTAAGAAATTGAAGGCTTTCGATCGAGAGAGGAAATGTTCCCCTTGAACAAACAGAAGAACGTTATTGACATAATGAAGGTTTTCGTATAAATTCTAAGGTAGATTGATGAAGATATAATCTACGTCACAGAATATTTATTTCACCCATACTCTTGGATTTCCAGAACTGACCAATTCTCTGTACCGAACGTTGCTGATATAGGAGATATCACCGCCATAGCTCTGAAAAGAGATGAAGACGGCTGGTTCCCAGAGTGGCAGCTTGATCGCGTAAGTGAATAGTACATTAATCTCTTTCTCAAGGGGAATGCTAACAAAAACGAAGAAATTCGCTGTCAAATGTTGTCCGACTCCCCGTCAAGACTAAATAGGAAAAGTAGATACTAATCAATTTTATCATATCATGTTTATCTGGACTTCCATTCATGGGAGCAGATATTATTCAATAGTCTATTAAATAGAGGTTTGCTTTTGGAGAGAGATGATGCAACAATTTCAAGGGGGCTAAACGAGAACCTCCAATAGAGGTCTCGCACTAACGTTTTACTGATCTTTGAAGACACGTTGGGTCATTCTGTTGTCTAAGAAAAAGTAGGTTTAGACGGGTGAAGGGTGGTGAATATTTTCCAATACTTCCCTTCGCCATGTCAATTAGTTCTTTATGTGCGCATAGCTTTACCACTCCTAAATGGGTCATTTTGAGGGAAATTTAGCGAGACCCTTAAACTTTTTTTTTTAATACTCTCGTTGCTATGATATAGCAATTACAACTTGAAAAATGATGAACTATGCAAACTCCCCTCTCCCCCCTCCCACCACAATAGCACAAGTGGAAACAGAGGTATTGTGAGAATTAATATCACTGACACAATTTACTGAAGTCGTCATCAGGAACTTTCTCGAGATGGCTGTACATCTTAGGTTTTAGACAAATTATAAACTTTCGTAGGTCCATTAGCACATTAGATCCCTAGATAAAGAACCCCGCAAGCTTTACAGCTTTTAATAACTATCGTTTTAAAGTCGAGGATTTGATTGATTGGAACTCGTTCCCACTCTCTGACATCACTTCTACTCGTACTTTAGGGGGAGCGTAAAATACAATTTTTCTTGCTTTAATTCATAAACTTTTGGTAATTCCGAAGAGTATTTATATCATAGACTTAAAAAATATTCATTTCATTTATATTTAAAGACTTTTCCTCTGTAGACGTAAATAGGGTACTGTGTGGGTAAAATTGGCCTTTCATAGCCAGACCTTAGGAAACTCATTGCCTTTCATTTGTGTTACTGATTCTTGTAAAAGGAAGCGAATTCTCAGAAGTGGCTGCGGTTCGACCACAATGACTGGACAGAAACTAACAAGTGGTTTAAAATCCAAGGTATATATTTTTCCTTGGACATTACCAGTTCCTCGAAGCGAACAATTTGCCTCGAGCTTCGCTCTCGGAAAATTGTTCGCTTCCCGGAACAGATAATGTCCAAGGACAAATATTCGAGTATATATATTTTTTCGCGCCAATGGAGGCTATTGTCTATTTATTAGCGGTACACATAGATCTCATTGCCTCAGCGGGTAAAGTATGGTTCCCCCTAACTAATATATCCTTTGTTATTTATAAAAGACTCAAACTGGATTTTTTTTTATACTTTCTTTGGTATTTCTCCAGTTACCTGTGAACCAGGTTTCCGAAAGAATAAAACCAGTGGAGTTTGTTTTGGACGGGAGTTGACACTTATCAAAACATTACAGCTATAATTTACACTCGCAAACTATATCGATAATTCAGCAACTTGAGAAAGGGTTTACTGCAAGATTTAGAAAGAGCCTCTTTTGGTCCTTTTTTTTTTTTTTAGCAATCTGTGGATCACGTCCCGTAACACGAACCTCCGGTGGTTCCGAGGCACCTCAAGGAACCTGGCCGTGGCAAGCCATGCTGAAGTTCACAGTTTATGACCGTACAACGTTCTGTGGAGGTTCCCTTATATTGCTTCGATGAGTTCTTACCACAGCTTACTGTATTTATGGGAAGAAGACGTCAAACATCTTTGGCATCAGATGTACTCTAACATTAGGTACTTAAGAGAATGCGTTGATGAAACAATAGCGGAGAATCAATATGCATATTTGAAGAATAAATTGCAGGCCGTGTTACACAAAGATACGATACCACCTGTAAATAACCACATAGCAGACATCAGATAACTTATGGGAACATCTTAATAACACTGAAACTAGAATGGGCTCTAACGGTTATACATTATACAATTCTGCACCAATTCGAGGTATTGTGTGTCATTCAATTGAAAAGGTGACTTTATTTAAAGTTTTGGTTTCAGTTAAATAATATCGACATGTTGAAGTGATCGTTCAACCAGGCAATGCAGAATGAAAACATAACCGCAAGGTAACACACAAACCTGTTGCATGACACCCCCAAGTGTCAGTATGACATATATATATCCACAGGTAATAAGAATAAGATAATAGCAATCTTTGAAAAGATGAACAATGTACTACCACAGATTAATGGTAACAGAAAACGCATGATTAATATCACTTACATAATGAAACAGATATAAAATGAAATCCAAATTAATACAGATTACATAAAAATAACCAAATCAAAGAAAAACCCTTGAATATTATCACAACTACTGGAACAATATATTGAAACTAGATAGAAATAGTAGAGACGGTAAGTTTTAAGCTCGGTAAAGAATTAATCTGAGTCCCCATGAGGAATCTAACCTCAGACCTTCGGATTTGCGCTCCGATGCTCTACCACTGAGCCACAGAGACTGGAAGACTGGAATTCAAATCACTAAGCAATGATTATGAAATAACAATTGAGCGAGTAAAGATGAAAATAGATTACGAGAAATTTATTATAGAGAATGATTATTTATTTTCAAATCAAAGGAGTCTTTGATGGTGCATTTGAGGTACATTCATAATATTATTGAATAATAAATAATTATATATAGTTTATATTATTGAAACCAATCTGCAAAGGGACATTATTTTATCTTTTAGTACAGACGATTTAAAACAGAATATGAAAATAGCTTAAACGGTAGACAAAATAGAACAGTAAAGCTCTCAAGAGATTCACCGAATCATTTGAAATTATTATTAGGAATTGCAATGATGCTTTGAAGCAAATAAACGAAATCAGATTAGCACTAAAACATAAGACTACAAATTAACTGGCAGAATTGAAAGGATTGAAATTTGTAGAAACTCTGGGTGTGACACTTGTTGTTTGCTATCTAAAGGATTTGGTTGAACTTTTAAATCTAGTGATAAACACTTTCTGAATATTGTTATTTATCATCTAACAAGAGGTTCCTCAAGCAAATCACAAGACAACTTCAGAGCAAAAGATCTGGAGTTTGTTCATCAGCAGACCAATCACAGTAAGAGACAACTTCAACTGTGAGTTTGAAAATGGCAGATCTTTTGTTTTGAAAAAATGTTAGGAGGTCCAGGTTGAGTTCATTTCACTCTAAAAGAAAATTAAAAAAAACAACATTGTGGGGATATTAAGAGCAGAACTTAAAATACTAGGAGTTCTATGCTCTCATCTCAGTCCTTAACAGTTATAGAAAAGAAGCTGTTTCAATGATGCTGGGAGTTATGACATGCTCTTAACATGCCTATTATACAGTCATATATTACCTTTGTTTCCAGACGTTCCAACTTTTGCTTCTTGGCTCTCAGCTCTTTCGCCTTTTCTGCAATTTTAAGATTTTCTGCAATAATTTTCTCAGACTGCCTGACTGCTTCTTCCCTTTTCTGCTTATGCACCGCCATAAAGGCACCCACTTGAAACC